ATGATGTACATACCAGCAGAATGATAGAATATGATAGTGATTTATCACACAATTAAATGTTAATTGGCCTAGGATAAACATGTTCAAGTGTATACCGGTATTGTGACACATACACTGTAGGTACATAATCGATATTGCAGCTTAAAGGGGGAAGTCCACCCTGATATTCAGTTGGTTTTAATAGAAGCAGAAAAATGAGAGAAACAGGTCAGTGAAAATTTGAGCAAAACCAATTTAAAATAAGAAAGTTATAAATTATTACAAAGTTGATATACAGTAGGCTTGCGGGTGCACCATGTGAGAGAGAGAGAGAGGATTGAGGAGTCCTGAAAAGGACTCTCGGTAATCTTTCTTGAGGATGTGTAGTCCTGAAAAGGACATCACCATGCAAGCCGACACTTACAAGCAGCATACAAAGTTGATGTATTGAAGTCATTGGTCAATGAAGAAAAAGTTACCGGTACTTACTTTAATTTTTATTTTGAGATGGATAATGAAACATAATATAACAACCAAAGATATTAACAAAGAAAAATAGAGGATTACTTGTGTATATCAATGGCACTTAAAAACAAGTAGTGCATGTATGTACATGTCACCGAGTAGTATAGAGTTATTTAATAAGGGAGAAAAATAAAGTATCAATTGCTGCAGAAAAAGTTACATCTTGGAATTGACACGTATAATTTGATTTGTCTTTCAAATTAAAGTTATGTCATATTCTGTAAACTAATATCTGCATGTACAGTATGCTATCATAATAACTGCATAAGCTCGAACCATTGTTTATTAAACCTCCACCCTAGCACATTACATTTTGAAGTCGGTACAGTATCCACCTCAAGACAAACGTTACATTGCGAGAAGCACACATTTGGATAAGATCAGGTGACTGGTTGGGATGCCTCTCTTCTCGGATCATGTGACACTGTCTTTCTTTTAAGATTTCTTGAGAGATGCTCGGGTGATGAAGTGCACGTGTACATTACATTCCGAGACGTGACATTATCTCATGGATTGTATGGTTAGTAGCCTGGCTTTCAGGATGGAACAAATTGTTTTCACCTTGTATCGAAAATGAATTGAAAAGAAATCAATGTTTTTGTCTCCTGAGCAATTCATATCATTTTGAGTATAGCATTTATATGAATTTTGTACAGAAAAAATGCTCTTTGTAAATGTTTAGTGGAAGAATATTTTTGTCTACCTTTGGATTTTGAAAGGAATTACAGATGGGTCCCCAAATATTATTAGTTGCTGGCCTATGTCCTATGGGGTGCTAAAAGAAACTCAATGCACAATGTACAGTACATGTTCATGTAGGTTTACCAATTGACTTTGCCAAATGCAATAGATCAATACGAAATGTATTTTGTATTTGTAACAGAATTTTATTATTTTATAATAAAATTGTTAGATTCTCCCAACTGTTACACCTAGGTGGCCCAATCATAATTATCAATGATTTTTACTTTCAGTTGTCATGGGAATCTATGCCCAACTTCATGATTGCAAAACTTTGAAAGAGATATACTCTTATATACCATGTGAGAGAGAGGGAGGATTGAGAAGTCCTGAAAAGGGCTCTCGGTAATCTTTCTTGAGGGTTTTTCGTAGTCCTGAAAAGGACTGTTCGTATAGTTTTGAAAAAGACTGTTGATAAACTCCTGTTTAGAAAGAACTGTACAATGTATATATTAATTAAATGTTGGAGCTGCATGTAATGTATGTACACTTAGGTATAATGTGCCATTAGACCTAAACAAAAAAGATGTTGTACTGCCCTTTAAGTGCCAAAACATGGGTCTTGGGCTGATATTTCTCAATGCTATAATACATTTTTTTTTCTCTAAAAAAACAGTACTTTTTATTATTTTTTTAAAGCCCACTGTAGATTTCAAGATTTTTGGGTCGGTCGCGAAGGGCAATACAACATCTTTTATTTTTAGGCCTTATAGGAAAGTTGTTATGGTATCAATCTGAAGGAAATCTGAGAAAAAATTCTCTCTCCTTGGTCCCTCACATACATGCACGTACAGTATGTAGAATGATATGTCTATTTGATCGCAAACGAGGCTACTGTGCAGACCAAGCAGGAGGCGTGTTGGGTATGAAAGGTTATCGTTTTTTATTGCGATAGTGTCTTTGAGAGGAGATGAGATGAGCTTCCGTAGATTTCAACATCCCGGTTGTGATGATAGTAGGACTGAGATGCATGAAGCCTTGCTTGTTTGATGTCTTTTCTCCCCAAATTTCTCGCGCCTCATCGGCTTCAGCGTGAGATGCGATCACAGGGGTGATGGGAGCGCCAGAGCAAACAGATATTCACAAATGTGCATGGATGCTGATGCTAACCCATGAGCTGTAGGAATATAGGTACAGGAGATGTAGTTAGATGAGAGATGTGGAAAGAAGAAAAGAAGGTAGAGAAAAGAGAAATGGAAGGAGAATGAGGGAGGTTGGTACTGGGTAAGAAAGAGAGGGTAAGGGGAGGGGGAGGGGAGGGGAGGGGAGTAGAGTGGGAGAGAGAGGGAGGAAGAGAGAGAAACAAGCAGAAAAGTGACTAGATGGAAGATGTGGAAAGAAGAAAGAAGGTAGAGAAAAGAGAAATAGAGGGAGAATGCATAAGAGAGGTTGGTACTGGGCGAGGGGGGGGGGGGGCAAAGGGAGAAGGGAGGGGGAAAGAGAGAGAGAGAGAGAGAGAGAGAGGGGGGGGGGGTGGAGAGAGAGAGAAGCAAGTGGATTGAAGATGTGGAAATAAGAAAAGAATGTATAAAGAAAAGAGAAGGAGGGAGGGAGGTTGGAACTGGATGAGAGAGAGAGAGAGAGAGGGGGAGAGAGAGAGAGAGAGATAGAGAAGCAGAAAAATAAGATGAGAGAGAGAGATATGGAAGAGGAGGGGGGGGGGGGGTGGATGCAATTTTGGCCCATTGCACTTTGTAGTTCCTGTATAAAACCTAAAGGAATGAGATTATTCAGTAGCCAAGTAACAAAAGATTGAGAAAAGCAAGAGGCAGGCGATTTTGAGACCCTTCAAAAGGAGAAAAGAGTGATATATGTGAAGATAGTGAAAAGAGACCCTCAAAACAAACAAAAAACAATAGATACCAAGAGGGAGATTAATGAGATGAAGCCAAAAGATAACCACAGAGTGAAGAAAGAAAATAGATATGAGAGATGAATACATGAATAAAAACGAAAGAGATAAAGAAGAGAAAAGATATGAGGCAGTGATAACAGACAAGAAAACAGAGAAGTGACAAAGTGGGAGAAGAAATTTGTCTAAATTGGAATGTGAGCATAAAAAAAGGAACACAAGTTCTGAATACGAGTGCCCTATTTGATTGAGAGATGAACGTGATCATGAGAATCGGTGGTCTATTAGATTATCTCCTCAGGCATCTCTCATTATCTTCCACCTTTGTGAACCAGATGTTCACTTGGTTTACTACGCTTGAAGCTTCTTACACTGTAAAATCAGGGCCCTGTATGATCAATCGCAAATAAGTTGTTTTTTATATCAACTCTTTTATAAAAAAACTCTCTGTATCCTTTAATTGTGTTTGCTATCCTGATGATACACTGTATATAATGTATCTTTGAAAAGGAACGGAACGAGAAGTCTGTCTACTGGAACACTGACTGTTCACTACATTTTTGCAGAAGTAACATTACCGGTAATTTGTCTATAAGAATTCTTAAGTGGGAACTGATGTGCTAATCATTTGAAGCTTTTACATGTACACCATCTGTTAAGAGGCTGAAGGGCATGTATTAAATCTGTGTTTTTCAACCTTTTATTTGTAGTATTGGCACCCTTTTAAGAAATAAAAAGTTTTACCTCACTCCAATCCCAAATTCATTACAGAAGATACTTTTTGCATCACTCTGGCACTCAATAAACCTACAGGCAAGAAGGAAATTTTGATATGGAAGAAATGTAATCGAAACACACTAGATAGTAGATATATTTTATATATAAATCATGTATGCAGGCATCTTGCTGCCGAATACATGAATACAAAATTCATTCGTTAAATCATCTTGATTCACGAATATGAGGAAGTTAGTTGCCCTGAATGATCCTGTTTTTAAATGTTACAAGGGAGTGAAGCAAATGAGGGTTGTATAATTGTAATTCCGATTTAAAAAAAATAAGAAGATACGGTATACTCGGGCACCTCGCTGCCCCTACAGTGTATATGACAATATTCTGGCACCTCACTGTTGAATAAAAGAATATTGGGGTACCTCCAATTATGAAGGTATTCAGTCATTGTGCTGCCTGAAATCATCCTGTCTCTAAATGTTATGAGTGAGGGAAGCGAGCAAGAAAGAAACCCATTTGATCATCTTTAAGATGTTATCTCTTCATGAAAATCCATAGAGGTTTCTACAATATTGTTTACATGAAATTGACGTTATTCCAAAGTAAAGTTTTTGATATTACTAGATTTCTCTTGTGACACTCCTAGAGATATCTTGCGGCACTCCGGTTAAAAAACGCTGTATTAAAGTTTATGTGTTACTACCCTTCTGTTTCTCATGAAAATGAGCAAATGGAAGCAAAGTTTTTCTAAACAATGAACCTACAATGTTTTTCTTAAGAATGAAGCTACAATGTTTTTCTAAACAGTGAAACTGCAATGTTTCTCTAAAAAATGAAAGTACAATGTTTTCCTAAAAAAATGAAACTACAATGTTATATCAGGGTTCGACTCGGGCAAGTGCCCAGGTTACACGGGCGCCCAAAATCGAAGTCTGGACCCCCAGAATTTTGTAATCTTTATGTAGGGCTTATGCATACAAGCTCTTAAAAGTTCATTCTAGAACCGTTTCCAAAAAGCAGGTGTGGAGTCTTTGTTCTATAGAATAACATGTATAGTTTGCACAGAAAAGATGATCTTTTTCAGCACCCCTTCTGTGCCCCTTCCCCCTTTGTATTTTATGATGAACTTTCTAATTTTTGCTGTCCTTATTCTTTGATCCCTTTTCTACAGGAGGCCCTACTTGCTCTGGGAGCAGCAAACAGCCTTTCTGAAGCGGAAGTTGCAATACGGGAGACCTATGGCTGCTGTTTCACCGATGTGGTAAGAATTTTATTGAGGCTACTTGTAATATGTACAGTTTAAGAAAACTTTTTACGAACCCTGGCGAAACCCCAAATTCGCTACATTCGCCACTCCGTGAGATACCCTCTTAAGAGACAACCGCCATTGCTATTGTTATGAAAACATTTTTTTTTCATAACCTCCAATGTCACCTGATACTAAAGAACTGCAAGAAAGCTTAGACAGTCATTTGAGAGGAAAATGATCCTAAGGGAACTCCTGCATGTAGGGTATGTTTCATGTTTTAGTCTTTCTTGTGCAGGTAGCTAGTCTTTCAGTAATTTACTGGAAAGTATGGAAAGACTTCATGATTCTCATATGGAAAGTGAAAGAGAGAGAGAGAGAGAGGGAGGGGGAGACACACAGACAAATAGAGAAAGAGAGAGAGAGAGAGAGGGAGACACACAGACAAACAGAGAAAGAAAGAGAGAGAGAGAGAGAGAGAGAGAGAGAGAGAAGAGGAAGAAAAAGAGAGTAAGAGGGGGGGGGGGGGGGGTTATTGAGTGAAATTGCCTTTCTAAATTCATTTGTTTTAGCCAAAAGAGTGTTAACTCCTACACATCTACTTTACCAACTTTGTCACAAGGTTAACGCCCTTCTGGCTCCAAACAGACGACATGTAGTTTAAAAGTTTAGTAACAAATTATATAAACTTTAGAAATAACTGAGGTGTAACGAACCACTTAACATGGCATGGAGAAAGAAATGAAAAAACACAGTGGCTGTACAATTGTAATAGAATTATGAAGGCAGACTGCTGGGAGGGAATATTTGTGTCTCTGCGACATGTGTAAGAGAGATTCCCCGCTGTGATAAATAGTGATTAGTATTCAAATTGCTAGGGATCTGATAGCGGAGTAATGTTGGGTTGTCGGCCCTGCCCGGTTGCTTGGGAGATGGTCTGTGTAGTGATTTGATTTACTCTGGGCTGAAATCAACCACAAAAGAATACTGACCGCTAATTATATGAAATGGATGGACAGTCCCCTTCTAAAGGGAATTCAATGATTACAAACTATGAATTTTTTAAAACCCAGAGTTTAAGAGACGGAATACAGAGGAAAAGGGTACAATGAGAGTGAGAAGAGAAGGAGAGGGAGAAGAGAATGAGCAGGAGATGGAAAGAAAATGGAAAAGAGAAGGAGAATGATAAGGGAAGAAGAAGGAGAAGAGAAGAAGAGGGAGATAGAAAGTAAAGAAAAAAGGAGATCAAGAAGGGAAGAAAAGGAGAAGGGAGGGAAAGTAAAAAGAGAAGGAGAGGGAAAAGAAAACAGGAAAGGAGGAGAAGTGAAGAGAGAGAAATGGGGAGAGGAAAGAAAGGAGAGAAGTGAAGGAGAGGGAGATGGAAAGTAAAGGAAAAAGAGAAGGAGAACAAGAAGGGAAGAAAAGGAGAAGGGAGGGAGAGTAAGAAGAGAATGAGAAGATAAAGAGAAAAGGTAAGGAGGGGGAAGTGAAGAGATGGAGAGAGAGAGAGAGAGAGAGGGAGAGAGAGGAAAAAAAAGAGAGGAGGAAAGGAGAGGAAAAAGTGGAGGAGAGGGGGGAAGGAAGGAAAGTGAGAAGAAAAAGGGAGAAGGTAAAGAGAGAAAGAAGTTCCAACTGAAACAATGCTTTTTCAAAAAAGAATAAGAGATTGGATATTGTAGCATTATCATCTATGGTAGATGTGGACAGAACAAAGTTTAACAAATTTGTTTATAATCTTTTTTTAAAGATAAAGACAAGGATGACTGAAGTGGGCAAGTCTAAAAAGCCTATACAGAGTAGCTTTTCCCTATATGAATTCACTAAAATACTTCAATAAAATCTCAAGGCTTTCCTTGTCCACTGGTCTCACATATGATATTGAACACCTTTATAACTACAATGTGCTGATAAAAGAAGAGAGATAGAATGTACCCAAAAGGAAGAATATATTGCAAACTAATACAGCGTGATAGCTCATACTGAGATGATGTCAATGCTTTCAGAGTGTTTACTAGTAGAGAAAGCATATCCTATGTGTGGGGAGCAAGAAGGGCATTAAAACCTAAACTTTGATATAGACTTATACTGCCCTTTTGCCTGTCACCTGACAATCGAAAGATTAGCGTGGGTAGTGGTGGTTTCTACATTATTATATTCACATGAATGCTCATTGAATCCCCCAAACCATCTGTATTAAACACGATTCACGTTGCTATGAGATGAAGGCTTTATTCATTTGTTTGTGCTCAGTATATGTATGCAATGAAGTGGACATTTACAAACCACAAAATAGTGTTTCTCCAGATGGCCTTTCTAAGGAAAACATTAAAAACTGTAGGATTTGGAGAGGATTGCAAGGAGAAAATGCATATCCATGCTTTGTTGATACTAAAATGCAAGTCTCTTTAAAACATCATCTTGCACTTGATTTGGTAACATAACAAACATAAAATACTAAAAAGTACTGTCTGACATTTAAAGAAAAAGTTGAGTTCTGGTCATGCGATCGCATTGTAAAAGAAACAGCAACAGTGTGGAATCGATCAGAAAAGGTTGATCATCTAGCATATACTGTAAGTATTAGTGTTTAGTGCCATATTTATAATATTAAGGCGTTTGAAGAGCCATGCTTTTCAAGGAACATTTTGTATCTGATGTTCTTCGGGCCGGGCCCCGCCCGCCGCAGGGAAAAAATTAATATTTATTTTTCGGGGGCTACTTTTCAAGCTTGCCTGCATGAAAATGACATTCTAAAATTTGTTTTGCATTGAACTCTATGCAAATTTACAGGGGCTCTTTTCTGATTTTCGGGGGCTCTTTTAGGCATTTCGGGGGCTAATTCGCCCTGAGCCCCCGTGTATTTTTTTTTCACTGGTTCTTCCACATATGGATAATAACAATGATAACGCTCACAAATTATTTTTCACCTCTTCCCACAACCCACATGAATAAGCAAATATACGTACAAAAAAGGATAAATTGTCAAATTATCATATCTGCCATAGTAGGCAAATTTCTTGAAAATATGACAGCCCAAAACAAACCTAATGCAATGGATGAACAAATTTATTAAACAGAATGGACAAATATTTGAAAGTGTCTGTAAAATATAAGGATAATGATGATGATGTGTGAGAAAACATTGTAGGCCTGTAGATGCAAGTAACCAGGTTAAACGAACCATGGCAAATAGTTTTGTTTGTTTATTTGTTGTTTTTTTACAGAAAATTGTAAATTGTGTTTCATCAGTAAAATCACAAGTTTATTAATGAATTTCTGATTTGAATTTCAGAATTTACCAGTAGGAGGTGTAAAGCATCCTGTTATCCTAGGGCCTGGCAATAACTTACATTTTTCTGACATTTTGAGATTAATGAAAAAGTAGAGAACCTTCACAATAAATTGTATGTCTTAAAACAATTATCTCCATATTGATTAATGAATGATAAATGGATCCTAAAGAAAAGCAAAACTAAAATTGGAATTGCTAGGCATTTTAGCAGCTGTGTATCCAAAATTCAAGGAATTTCATTATTGGATCCCTTTTTAAAAACAATTTTTATCATCAAAATGCATTACTTTTTATCAGTGGATCTTGCTTTAATATAAGACAAACTTTTATCATCAAAATGCATTTCTTTTTATCAGTGGATCTTGCTTTAATAAAAGACAAAGAGAAAATATTGGAGTGTTCTGGGAATGTTTTAGGAACTTCATAGATGTGGCATAAAAGATGCACATCCGCTTCACATAAATACGAAAGACTGCAAGTGTGCACTTCAAAGGAAGATAAAAAGACAACAAGCACATGATCTTTCACCCTAGTCCCCATTTTCCCTCTTAAATGTATACAGCTGTATAAGTACTCTCTATGCACATGAGATTCCCTTTTCAACAACCTTGGTGATATTATTCTCTATGGAGTCCTAATGCATACCATCAAGTGCAAATTTAAGCACACTTGATGGCGGATCCCCTATCCTCCCTGTGCGCTATTGAAGGGGCGTTATGAATTTCAAGACAACCACACCGTTTTTTGTCGCACTCAGGTCGCCGTGGCAACCAAATTGATCCATATTATTGAAAGGAATAAGAATTTGTCTTCAATTTTTTTTCTTCTCCCTGCATGCCCAGGTTGGCGCGCTGTGGATTTTTGCATTTAAATGGAAATGGGTATTATCGTCTTGTATGCTTTCAAGGGAGACTTGGGTTTGTGAAGCTTTTAACAAGTGGCGGGTCGAGAGTATTCTCTTGGCAACCATGTACATGCATAGCAATGAAGGTTGAATTACAGGATAAATGGGAGACTGTCTTTGAAATCCCATCTTGAATGCGCAGGCAGAAGAACAAAATGCAATATCTTTTAGGATGTATCTACAAAAGAACCTAGCTATCTTATTTGTATATATGTTTAGCAAGAGTTTTTTAAAACCACCACTATTTTTAATCTTAATTTTTTAAACATTACTTTTTCTGTTTTATTATTAATGCGCAGGCAGAGCAAAGTGCAATATCTTTTAGGATGAATCTACAAAAGAACCTAGCCATCACATTGTTATAAATGTACAGAGAGAGTTCTTAAACCACCACCATTTTAAATTTTAATATGAAACATTACTATTTCTGTGTTATTATTTAGAAAGGGATTAAGTTCATCAATGCACTGTAAACAAAGATATCTTAAAGTGGCTATGAAATGAAATTGAGAGCTTTGAAAGGAAAAGAGAAAGCAAGGATTGTTAAGAATGGTCATTCTGTTTTATGAAATGTTAAAACCCTGTTGATAATTATTCATTGCTTACTTGATCTAAATAGTACATATACCTTCTTTTGGAGGTATACTAAGTGTTTGTTTTTTAAAACTATGTCGGTAATGTCAGTGATTCAATAGTTTGCAATAGATTCCTGAATACACCCCCTACCCCTATAAATAGAAAAAAACCAACTTGGCAATTCAATCTAAAAGAAAAGAGGTTTGTTTTAGTGGTTATGTTAAGATAAATTTCAATATCTACATAGATATTTGTCTGGCACTACATCACAGTGACATTACCGATTCTCACAGTTTGAAGCTCACGTACATAGAGCAATTAAAACTTTCAAAACTTCAGAACTTTTTAATTTTTTGTCTGATTTTGTTCAAACTGTCACCAGTCTGATTCTCTGATTTTTCAGCTGTCTTTTAGAATTATTTTCTCTTAAGGTTGGATTTCCCTTTGAACACAGGGTTATTGCACTTCTGGCTCTGAACAGACGTTATGTTACATTATAGAAGGACAGGCCTTCAGACAAGTAAATATAGTCTGTTCACAGCAGATGAGTTAACGTCCTGCTGGCTCCAAACAGACGGTATAGGCCTGTTTCCATCAGACCGAAGTTGCAAAATAACCCGCTATTTTCAGCTCGAAATATTTTCCCGAAGCTCAAAACTGCATCTTCACCAGACCGATACGCTCATCACAAACTAGCTCGTACGGGCGCAAATTAGCCTGCTATTTCCTAAAATAGCGGGCTATTTTGGAAACAAGACCAAGATTTCTCAGGATATTTTCTCGATCAAATAGCCCGCTTATTGCAACGGCGGGCTGATGAAAACACAAACTAGCTGGCTCATTTGAGATCGGGCTAGTTAAAATAGCGGGTTATTTTGCAACTTCAGTCTGATGATGACAGGCCTTATGAAACTAGCAGGTGCTTTTCAAAATGACTTTATTAAGTACATGTGTACATTTCATGTTTTTATTTTCCAGACGGACCTAATCCTATACTTATTGAGCAACAGAACAGGGCTTCTGGCAAGCATAGATGGACTAGCGGGGGCCTGTCATAATGTTCCCAAGACGGGTATTACGGGGTAAGTAGCTATACGCTTAACCTCCAGAGCTTCTTTATTTCTGTTTATATGCATTTCAAGGTAATCTGGTAATTTCAATTTATCATTGGTGTGATTGCCAAACCAGTTTTATAGAAATGGTTATGGTGGAGAAATGAAGATGGCAAAAGATATTCAGTAAAGCTTGATATAAACAATTATTTGAGTTAAAGATTAAGTGGAGTTCTGTTAATAGAAGTTAAAAGAAAATAAATTCTCACAGAATCCAACAAAAAATTTACTGAATGTTCATAAGATCATAGCTAAATGACATGTGCAAAACGATTTTGTTAGAAAATGCAAATGTATAGGAATTAGGGGCTGAGTAATGAGTATAGAAAGATAAGGAAATCAAGCATTCATTTGATTTTTTTTCTTAGGGTATGTCTGGATCAGAGGCAGGGGGATATTCTACACACCTTGGCTGAAGATGATCCTGTATGTGGCCTCCTACAGGGGGCCAGCCTACCCCTCTCTGAGAACAAAAGAGGTAAGTGGTATATAGAACTCCTCTCCGCTATGTCTCGGCGCATGTCATCTACCCAGCTATGGCATCACCATCAAGAATTACAATGCTTATAAAGACTCATAGAAATTAATCACAGTTTGACAAACTGACTAAGAACGTTGAATTTGTGAGACATTCTGTAGCAATTAACCAAAATGAGTGCCCAGCAGAGGCAAATACTGGTACTATACAAGAAGCCATCATCATTATCATCATCATCATCATCATCATCATCATCATCATCATCATCATCATCATTATCATCATCACCATCATCATCATCGTCAGTTTGATGAAGCACAAAAATATTAAAGAAAACAAAAAATAGACAAATAAACACTTCTCAAATTAGCCTGCTATTTCCCAAATAGCGGGATATTTTGGAAACAAGACCAAGATATCTCAGGATATTTTCTTGACCAAATATCCCGCTAATTGCAACTGCGGGCTGATGAAGATGCAAATTAGCTGGATAATTTGCGATCGGGATAGTTAAAGTAGCGGGTCATTTGGCAAACTCGAGCTGGTGAGGACAGGCCTAAAGTAATATAATACAGTTGTTGCATTTCCACCCCTGTCCACCCCAATGCAACATGAGCCTTTTGCCCATGAATTGACAGCATTTCAAGAACCTTTCAAGGAAATAGAAATGGAAATGTAAATGGAAATATTGCTAATACATTATGTCAGGGCTGCTTGCTTGTATGTCACATGAGATGTTAGGGTTGCTGTTGATAGAGAGTGAGAGAGACAGAGACAGACAGACAGACAGACAGACAGACAGACAGACAGACAGACAGACAGACAGACAGACAGACAGACAGACAGACATAGAGAGAGAGAGAGAGAGAGAAAGGAAGAGACAGAGAGAGATAGAGAGAGAGACAGAGACAGACAGACACAGAGAGAAAGGGTGAGGTAGATGGGGAGACTGATAAAAACATTGAATTAGATAGGGATAACAAGTGTTTAGAAGATCTCAAATATCAAGAATTTGAAGATTCAAGCAGTATTCACAATCAAAATTTCTCAGCTTTTATAATACCGGGGGTAACTCAAACTGAATATCAAAGTTAAACTAACTTTGCTCTAATAGACTTGGCGTACAATGTAAAGTATCATGACTTTTCTAATACCCTAATGCCTCAGTCACACCTTTGCGTATGATGCTGCGTATTGCTGCGCTGTACGGGGTATATCAATACGCAGCCGTTCCCAGCAATACGCGGCAAATTTGAAGGTAGCAGTCACACTATTGCATATCTATCTCGTAGGCAGCTCGTATGCCGCTCGTACTAAGACTGCCTACGGTTGCCTATGACCACGCTATAGCTCGCTGTTGCTCATAGCAGTACGATTCAATACGCAGTTTGCTCGCCACGTTGCGTATGTAACTGGTTCTTCGCTCGTTTGCTGCTCGCTAGCCGCTCGCACCAATACGTCTCGTTACGTCTCACTGCGTGTTCACTCGCTTTAGCTCGTCTGCTGTTCGTACTGCTGCGTGCCAGCTCGCTCTACAGCGTACCAGCTCGCTTGGGCTGCGACGGCGTATAAATAAAAGTCATTTAACGGGCTTCTGACGAGTCTACATCTAAAGAAAAATCAATCTAATAAAAAAATGGCCCGGGAGCAGAGCTCTGCCTCGCAAAAGCTTAATCTTTTGGTTCAGCTGGAAGAAGCAGAGACAAAATGATGTTTATTTATTAAGGTTATGTAGCGCAGCGACGGTGGTTGGTGCTAGCATTGAGAGAGAGCTAAAGCGAACGGCGTACGAGCTAGACTCGCAGCGTAGCGAGCGGCAATTGCAACAGTTCTTGCTGCTGCGAGTGGTAGGCGAGCAACAGCGCAACAATACGCGCAATCATGCGAACGACAACGAGCTCTTGCGAGGTAAATCGTGCAGGGAACGCAGCTATAGGCAGTGACACGCGCTCCAAAAAAAAGAGGTGCGTATGGTTGCGTATACTTGCGCTAAGCCACTCGCTGTTGCTCGCATTCACTGGTTGCCACTCGTATCCGCTCGTAGATGATTTAACTCTGCGTTTGCTTGCGATAGTTTAGAAAATTTTAAAACTAGCGAGCGGCAAACGCAGGCCTTTGCGCTAGTCTGCGTATTGAGTACGCAGTGAGCACGTTTCATTGCGCTTTATTGGGTATGACTGCCTATGTCTGCGTTCGGGCAATACGCAGCAATACGCAAGCCCAATACGCAAAGGTGTGACTGAGGCATTAACTTGATGTATCTTGACTATTAAAAAAGGGCAGAGATGGATCCAAAATAAATGCTTTAGCTAGATCGAGAACTAATTAGCTAGGTGAATTGAGTCGTTCAAAATTTAGTAAGAATTTGTAACAGTTCACAGATCCGTAGTATGCCAATAGAAAGAGATCAATGGTGAAAGATTTCTAGCACAATTCTGCTCACGCTCCCTTCCTCGTGGAGAGAGAGAGAGAAAGAGGGAACAATTGCATTTTTCTGAATTTTAAGAAGCGTCAACTACCAGGTCTCATAACTGTCAAGAAAAACATGTGGATGCGTGCCCAAGGAGAGGAAAAACAAGTCAGATTACCCATGTAATTCCTTCCACTTTGCATCCGGTTTTTAAAACCCATCATACATTATACATTCCCCCCTAGAGCCATCTTTTCGCCTAGCTCACAATAAATTGAGCAGTACCCTGGTACGTCTACAATGCCTGGTTGCACTCTCTTTCTTTCTATCTCGTCTTCAAAATGCAACGTTTTGGTTGTCGTTCTTGCTTTGTCGTGTATTGAAGGTGTTTTGAACAAGATAGTGAGACTTAGAAGAAGAAAAAAACATCCCAAAATGACAATTGGAGAGCCTTGCTTGAAGTTGTTTCTGTGAAACACTTCAAAAGGATATTGCAATTTTTCTTGCGGTTACTGGAGATCCAGGGAAGTTTTTTTTTCTTGATACCCATTTCTCTTCCTTTTCTATCATGATTAGTTGCTGTTCTGTCTAAATCCTAAAATGCACCATGAGTTTCCTGAAGCTTGAAGAAAAAAAAAGACAAGTTTTCTTAAAGGCATCGCTTAACAATGTTAAATCTGAGATGCATGGTCCTACGTGTTATCAGTGTCTGTGATATGGTGTAATATTGAAGCCCTAAAAAAAATGATCCTGAAGAGCCTCAAAAAAGTATAAAATTTTGAGTGACCGGTTTTACCATACTCGTTTCCTCAATAGACTGTAGTGTTATGAAAACTATTAGGAAGACTCAAAATTTGATTTTGATTACCAATCAAAAATATCTTGATAATCGGACAGGCGATCGGCTTGTAAAAGTCATGGGTTCCTGACTGAGCTAAAGGTTTATAATTATCATTGCAGCATGAGCTAAATCCAGGATTTTGTTTCAGAATCTGAGACAAAGTTACCCAATCCCTTTAAGGCTCGTTCAGATAAGAGGCAGTAAACCATATTTTTTTCTCTCAAAATGTGTAAATGAATGTCAACTGCACTACATAACTTTGCTTCTGTATATTAAAAAGACTGACTGGTTTTATTCTGATAGGGGTTACCTTCTGAGTCTTTTCAGGTCTACGATACTGTTAAAGGGCCACTCCCATCAAAACGGGCGTTAAATTGAAAAAAAAGATAAGTAGAAGAGTATTTGACGGAGATTCTGAATATGACAATGTTTTTTCTTAGAAATCATCAATAGTTCTGAAATCCAGCTTTAAAAATGTATTATGTAATATGCTACTGTAAGTTTTGCACAATTTCAAAAGGTACTGGACAAGGCTGAAATGGCTCAACGTTGATTTCTTGAAAGTCTCTATACTAGGATCGTAGGTAGTGTAGGCCTTTGCCAAAAAAAAATAATTTCTGCCAATGTTTTACCTCTTAAAGGTAATACAAAGTTTTGGGAAATTCTGAAAATTGGCTGGATAGAGATTGTTTACAATTTTTATATATTTGGATGTCCCTGTGTATGTATTATAAGCACTAGAAAATTTAGCCCCTAAAACTCTTCTGCTTTCGAGAAAAATTGAATATAAAAATTTACCGGTGCTCCCGGTAAATTCTAATAAATTTCAAATAGGGCCTAGGGCCATACAATGGTAGCTGCGACCATGAAAATTTCAGAATATGTAGTTGTGATGTATAATTTCCAAACGGGAATAGCCAATCGGTCAGTTTTAGTCTAGAAACATTGTTTTATAGCAAAATTAATATCTTGACCTTTAGAGGGAGCTATACAACATAAAGTGTTTATTATTTACAATTTGATCACTTTAGACTCCATTTCAATCGCAACAATGATCACTGAATATTATGTGATCGCATATGCTTCCAATATGTTCATTTGAACCAAATTCATGACCCCGTACCAAAACTTTGTATTACCTTTAAAAACCCGCTAAGGTGGAACAAATTTAGGGTGACATGCACCTTAGAGATCAAAACAACCTTGATCTCAGCTTCTCCAGCAAGATGTTAGAGGTCCTTCAATCCCCCCCCCCTCTCTCTTTCTCTATCTTTCCTTTTTCTTTGCGCTTCCCCGATGATGCCAGGTAATGTGACAAAAGTTGACGAGTAACGTCCGCCAGAGGTTATGTATACCTTGTCCATATTATTGTCGCTTTGCTGGATTCACAACTTTATACAAATTTTCTTAGGAGGAACGTTGGATTGCATAAATACCGGAAAGAAATTCAATGAATCTCCTTTCCTTCATGATAAAAGGATGAAGAAAACAAAGATTAGATATGTGTAAAATAATGGTATCCATGAAGTTGTTTTTTCAGCCTTAGGGGCTGATTCTACACATATAATGAACATGTATGTCACCAGTAAAAAAAGGCGTAAAACAGCGCCCTGTTTCGTAAAACTTGTTATCAGTAACAGGTTATACAATAACTGTTATAAGCTACTGAAATCATGGCCTTTGATTGCCTGAGAGCAAATTTGTCATAGAAATTTAGCACTTTTTATTGATAACAAGTTTGATGAAACA